TGTGTTCATCCAGCTCTACACCTTGTTATCTCAGATTCTCCAGCATCGGCAGTTCCTACTATCTCTCATTTCAAATAAACCTGTTGGCCTGTAATCTGGTGTGCTGTGACTTCTGACTTCCTCTAATGTTGGGTCCCAAGGGCAAATACCTGCCTTCCATGTTGCAACTGATGAATGAACTTTCTGGAAAGGCAAGGCTGACTTTTGTCACAATTCCAGGCATCTTGCTGTTTGGGTTAAATCCAACGCTACACTTGGCAAGTTCTTATACCAGTAGGCAAATCAGTCAAAATGAAAGGCATTGATTAAACTGTTCTTTCTGCATGGACTCACCCCACTGAGCAGAGAATGGCATTCGGCCTCAAGGGCCTGAATTTGACTGTTTAATTCCTTAATCTCGAGTTTTGAGGTTTTCACTGCTTCATTGACCTGAACAGTCTGCTCCGTCTGTGTTTCAACCTTGAAATCGAGAAGAAAACTGCAGTCAAATAGAGGCACAACACATCCTCACTTTGGTAGAAGCGAAATGAGTCCTGAGGTACAAACACCTCACCCCCTGGGATTACATACAGCCCCAGGTTGCTGAAACATCTACGGTCTATTGACCATGACAAGCCTGCATGACTTTTGGCTGTACTCTTTCAAGATCTAATGGAGACAGGCCATTAGCACAAAATAGCTGCTAAACCAGACAATGCAGGTCTCACTACAGGGATTGCATGCAACTTTAGATATGGTAAAACAGCAATAGAACATAGAACATAGAACATTACAGCGCAGTACAGGCCCTTCGGCCCTCGATGTTGCGCCGACCTGTGAAACCAATCTGAAGCCCATCTAACCTAAACTATTCCATTATCATCCATATGTTTATCCAATGACCATTTAAATGCCCTTAAAGTTGGCGAGTCTATTACTTTTGCAGGCAGGGCATTCCACGCCCTTATTACTCGTCGGAGGTAAGTTCTTTACTCAGAATCTGTCCTATATCTATCATCCCTCAATTTAAAGCTATGTCCCCTCGTGCTAGCCATCACCATCCGAGGAAAAAGGCTCTCACTGTCCACTCTATCTAATCCTCTGATCATCTTGTATGTCTCTATTAAGTCACCTCTTAACCTTCTTCTCTCTAACGAAAACAGCCTTTCCTCATAAGACCTTCCCTCCATACCAGGCAACATCCTGGTAAATCTCCTCTGCACCCTTTCCAATGCTTCCACATCCTTCCTATTATGCAGTGACCAGAACTGTACGCAATACTCCAAGTGCGGCCGCACCAGAGTCTTGTACAGCTGCAACATGACCTCATGGCTCTGAAACTCAATCCCTCTACCAATAAAACCTAACACACCGTACGCCCTGTTAACAACCCTATTAACCTGGGTGGCAACTTTCAGTGATCTATGCACGTGGACACCGAGATCTCTCTGCTCATCCACACTACCAAGAATCTTAGCATTAGCCCAGTACTCTGTATTCCTGCTACTCCTTCCAAAGTGAATCACCTCACACTTTTCCGCATTAAACTCCATTTGCCACCTCTCAGCCCAGCTCTGCAGCTTATCTATGTCCCTCTGTAACCTGCAACATCCTTCCGCACTATCCACAACTCCACCGACTTTAGTGTCATCCGCAAATTTACTAACCCATCCTTCTACGCCCTCATCCAGGTCATTTATAAAAATGACAAACAGCAGTGGCCCCAAAACAGATCCTTGAGGTACACCACTAGTAACTGAACTCCAGGATGAACATTTCCCATCAACCACCACCCTCTGTCTTCTTACAGCTAGCCAATTTCTGATCCAAACCGCTAAATCACCCTCAATCCCATGCCTCCGTATTTTCTGCAATAGCCTACCATGGGGAACCTTATCAAACGCTTTACTGAAATCCATATACACCACATCAACCGCTTTACCCTCATCCACCTGTTTGGTCACCTTCTCAAAGAACTCAATAAGGTTTGTGAGGCACGACCTACCCTTCACAAAACCGTGTTGACTATCCCTAATCAAATTATTCCTTTCTAGATGATTATAAATCCTATCTCTTATAATCCTTTCCAACACTTTACCCACAACCGAAGTAAGGCTCACTGGTCTATAATTACCAGGGTTGTCTCTACTCCCCTTCTTGAACAAGGGGACAACATTTGCTAGTCTCCAGTCTTCTGGCACTATTCCTGAAGACAATGACGACATAAAATAGTTGGTTTTGGGAGGGAGGCCTAAAGTTTTCCAGGCACTATGGATTTTCCCAAAGGCAGGACAACAGTGACTGACCTGATGTGGAGTGTAAACGTTAAGAAGGGGTAAAGTCACCAGGGTCGTGCTCTGTCATTAAAGAGAGACAACTGGAGATGGTTTAACCTGAGGATCACCGTGCCTCAGCCAGGGGAGAGGTTGAGAAGGAGAGTCCTTCATGGTAACATCAGCGAGTGTGGGGATTGAACCCACTCTGTTAGCATCACTCTGTGCCACAACTGAGCTAAATTAATGTTGCACACCTTACGTCAGTGGAAAGGTGCATTTGTTGACTCAGTGGCAAAGTACTTATGGGCCAGAGTCATAGAGTCACACTGTTGGTCATGGCCAAACAAGGGACACAAAGCCACATGGCGGACAGCAAAGAGCTCTGCAGCCTTGGCAATGACGATGGTGGGGGGTTGACCACTGCCGAGACTGCTGGGAGAAGGGACACCTCCATGTTGACTCTCGCTCTGAAGGTTGCTAAGAGTTATCTATGCACGTTCCAGGGTGAGTCAAGCAGGTGCGTGTGCATGTGTGAGAGACCCTTTCGTAGGTATCTGAGGCTGGAGAGGGGACATAACCACTGTGTGGGCCCCTCTGAGGTTGATAGACTCACCATGGACCATTCTGATGCTCAAATTCCAGCAAAAGGGAGCTCAGTAGGCAGATTAAATGGATTTGTTCACATCGTGTCTCTGGTTAGTAACTGCAAATCCACAGTGGCTGGAAATCCCTCCCAAAACCTATTATCACACTTTATGACAATTCTGACCTCCGAAGGCCTGGTAAGATTCCCACCTTGAACTAATTGTGGCATTCTCTATCAAAATAAGAGTTCCAAAACCTTAGACATTACGTTAACCTAACTATCTCCTCCCTCAGAGTTCAGATTCAAAGTGGAATTTGTCCCATTCTGGATTCACAGGCTTACACTTGTAAGAGGATACCCACCTGTGATTTGTACCAAATGTCAAGCTCATTTTCATTCTTCTTGCAAAGGGCTTCATAGTTGTCCCTCATTTCGTTGAGTTGCTTTAAAAGATCAGTGCTGGTTTCAGCGGAAACATCCACGCTAACTGTACCAGTCACTTGCTCTTTCAGTTCAGCCAGTTCCTAAAACCAAAACACACACCTATCAGGTACTTCTTCTCTTCTTAATATTTACAATGTTGTAATGCATTGAAATTTTTCACAAGTACATTAAATTTCAGTGAGGACAGAGCTTGTAGCACCTTCCAACAAGGAGCCATTATCCTCCATCTCAAACAGTCTCCAATTTCATGGTTGGTCAATGATGGACCTTAGTTCAGCTTCAACCCTGTGACCCTTGGATATTGATCATTGGGAACAGACCCCTAAAGGAGTGAAGGGTTTGAGACAAGAGATGATGCCAAGCTTACCTCTTCATGGTTCTTCTTCAGACTTGCAAGGTCTTCATTTGCTGCCGCTATATCACCTTCCAAATTGCTGTAATTCAATATATATTCATCTTTCAGCGCCTTCAGGTCTGCAATATCACATTCCACAGACTGTTTGATGCACAGCTCATTCTCATATCTAGTTGGAAGATTCAGAAAAAAAATACTTGTTCAACTCGAACAACGACTGAATGTGGTGGCATGGACTTAATGGGCCAAAGGGCCTCTTCTGTACTGTACGGTTCAATGACGGATCCCAGAAATGGCTGATCAGGTCCATACGTGAGGTACCAAAACTGTACACTCATAGAAGCAGTACTCAAAACCCTGAGGTGCTCAACCATGTTCAGAAAGAAACAGTCACCAAAGTCTCCATTTTTGAGAAGGAAATGGTTGTTGATAATTCTACTGGACCCCCCCCCCCCCTCTCTCTCACCACCCCACCTCCCCTACACCAGCACCCTGTAGTTTGTTACATTTTTCCCCATTGAGATTGTCATCAATGCTGGGGAACAGCCTTGGAGAAATCTTCCGTCACTTGCACTGTAAAGTGATACACAGAGAGCGTGCGCAGCTTCAGCGATTACTTTTTTTTGTACATTTCCAATTTAGCACAAAAACCGCTGAGTCAAAACCCTGGGATGGCCTTGCTCAGCAGCAGTATGGTGCAGAAGGCTCAAGACAAACTTCTCAGAAGGCAATGAAGGATGAACCAGAAATGCTGGCCTTGCCTGCAAAGCCAAGATTTATCTCATACCTGGGTACAACGTTGTTGGATAAGTGAAGAACAAATGCACATACTTGTTTGTGAAGTCCTTAGCAGCCAGAGTTGCATTGTCAAGGTCGAGAGCCAGGCGTGCATTTCCAAGATGAAGTGCCAGTATCTAAAGTGAAGACCATACAGGGTAAACCATGAAGGTACAGGCATTAATCCAGGTACAGTGAGATTGAGAAGTGAATTAGATGCTGCTTTGATGGGTGTTGGGGGAGCAATGGTGAGGCAATAAGGGGCTAAGTTGGACAGCTGCGTATATTTTCACAAGGTAGCTGTAACACAGGTTTTAGATTCTGTATTCCATGCCCATTCTCAATATACAGCCATCACTGAATAACACTGTAGACTGTGCTAACCATGTGTCCATTACCCACTCAGGGCAACAAGGGGAGGAAAAGGGATCAGGCCAGGTCTTCACCAGGGAAGATATTGAGAGAAGCCTGTCACTGACCCCACTGAGTTATAATAGCGTCAGTATTCCTGCGCTGTATTACTGATGGTGGTGGAATGTTGCAACTCTCTCCAACTCTGCTCTGCATCCTCTCTAGCTCAGAGCCAGGGACAGGAAGCTCCTGGTCCATGAAGACAATCTTTCTTCACTTCCCCAACATCCCTATCCCCCTCATCTTCTTCTGTAAGCCAGAAATGATGGGCTGGACTCACACAGGAATGAATCCAAAATATGAACATCAATCACATTCACAGAACTGCAGAGGCAATGAGTTAAGGTGAGACAAGAACAAATGAGGAACATGAAATTGATCTAAAATAGGTCTTGCAGTAAACTCACTCCAATTCTCCACTTACTTCAGTTGAGCTGGATTGAGTCAAGTTTAGTTTGGAAATAGACAACAATTGAGAGTTGGATAAATCTTTTGCAATCATTCATCATTACACAGGATTAGGCTGGAGTGAATCAGCTGGGGAGTTTATTTGTTTCCACCCATTTCATCCTCCTACAATGCCTCCTTTATAAGCTCTTCCAAAAACATAAGCAAGCAACCACATTGTCCAGTAGGGGATGGACAGGTGAGGTTCTTGGGTCTGACCCTTTGTCTGTGGTTGCACTAAGGGCTTTAGGGTGACACAATGTCTATCTTCAAATGCCTGCAAGTTGGAAGGGGGTGGGGCTGTCAAAGCAGCCAATTTTCAGTGTTCCAACGTGGAACATAAATTATGGGACGGCCCATCCCCGGTATCTCTGAGCAGACAATTGGTGATTGGTTAGCTCAGTTGGCTGGAAGGTTGGTTCACAATGCAGGGCAACACCAATTATCTGGGGTTCAATGCCCACACCAGCTGAGGTTACCATGAAGGACTATCCTTCTCAATGTCTCCCCATACCCAAGGTGTGGTAACCCTGAGGTTAAACATGCCACCAAACATTTCTCCCAAATGGGAGTGTGGGACTGTAGCAACTTTAACTCATTGCTGAGCGAGTAAATGAATTAAACAACGTCAGGGGGTCTTGTCCATTGCCAACATCTTTCAAATGCTGTGGCAATATCAGTTTGAACTCTCAAATAGACAATAGCTTGGAGTTTTGGCTTTAATTTTAAAAAATGAATTGATAACATTATGACAGGCACTCATAATGATTAGCAAAACAGCTTACAAATCAGAACCAAAAGAACTGCGGATGCTGTAAATCAGGAACAAAAACAAAGTTGCTGGAAAAGCTCAGCAGGTCTGGCAGCATCTGTGAAGGAGAAAACAGAGTTAACGTTTCGGGTCCGGTGACCCTTCCTCAGAACTGATGGTGGCTGGGAAAACGTCAGTTTATATGCAGAAAATAGGGAGGCGGGTGGGGTAGGGAGTAAACGATGGGATAGAGCCCAAAGAGAGAGAAAGACAGTTGGACAGACAAAGGAGTTGCTAACGATCAGGCTGGGAGGGTGAGTAGTTGTTAATGGAGACTGTTAGTGACTAACAACAGGGGGTGTGTAGTGGCAGGCTATGTGGTAACAAGGCCTGGTGTGTGGGGTGGGGGGCTGGGACATGGGAGAGTTTAGGTCCTAAAATTATTGAACTCAATATTGACTCCAGAGGGCTGTAGGGTCCCCAAGCGGAAAATGAGGTGTTGTTCCTCCAGCTTGCATTGGGCTTCACTGGAACACTGTAGCAAGCCAGAGACAGAGATGTTGGCCAGGGAACAGGGTGGTGCATCGAAGTGGTAGGCAACGGGTAGTTCAGGGTCTTTTTTGCGAGCAGAACGTAGATGTTCTGCAAAGCGGTCGCCAAGTCTACGCTTCGTTTCCCCAGTGTAGAGGAGACCACATTGTGAGCAGCGAATGCAGTAGAATGCTAGCTTAAAATCAGGATCTTTATAAGACACAGCAATACCATACACCTTGACTCTCCTGTCAATCAGATTTCAACGGGAACCTCAACTGGACAGTATTCATGAATTAAGAAATAGTAGGAACTGCAGATGCTGGAGAATCTGAGATAACAAGGTGTAGAGCTGGATGAACACAGCAGGCCCAGCAGCATCAGAGGAGCAGGAAAGCTGACGTTTCGGGTCTAGACCTTTCATCTTCATCATGAATTAATATTTTTTTAACTGAGACCCTTATGCTGGCTAACTGGAGCCCAGCCAAGGGGGAAATGGTTAAAAAAAAACAGGGTTCCAGTTCTGACCAAAAGGTCATCAAACTCAGAACAGTAACTCTGTTCTTCTCTCTGCACAGACGCCGTCAGACCCAAGAACAGAAGTTGCTGGAAAAGCTCAGCAGATCTGGCAGCAACTGTGAAGATTAAAAAAAAAACAGAATTAAGGTTTCGGGTCCGGTGACCCTTCCTCAGAACCCCGCTGAGTTTCTCCAGCGATTTGTGATTTCGCTTAAAAGCGGGGCCAGATCCTTTCCAAAAGGGGTTTGCCTGAGTAACGAGGCTCTAAGTCACTGCAGACTCACGTACATTTCCATCGCTGGTGGTGCCGGTACAAAGACGGGACGCGATCCGCACGGAGAAACCGACGCTGCTTTTCAAGCTCCCTCTTAGTTTTTAACTCTCCCCGCAAACGGGATTGGGCGAATAATAAAAAAAAACCCGGGGCCCAGCCAAAACTGCTGGCTTCTCAACGGGGGGCGTCCCCCCCCCCCCCCCCCCCCACAATCTTGCGAGAGGGCGTCCTTAAAGCCTGTCACGTTAGCATCACTGAGTGAAAGCAGAGAGCTCCGCATTTAAAGTGCACAGGGAAAGCAGAGAGAGTCATACAGCCTGGAAACAGACCCTTCGGTCCAACTCGTCCGTGCCGACCAAGTTTCCCAAACTAAACTAATCCCGCTTGCCTGTGTTCGGCCCGTATGTCTCTAAACCTTTCCTGTTCATATATCTGTCCAAATATCTTTTAAATGTTGTCACTATATACCCGTATCCACCACTTCCTCCGGCAGTCCATTCCACGTATGAACCACCCTCTGTGCGAAAAAATTGCCCCTCCTTTTTAAATATTTCTCCTCTCACCTTAAAAATATGCCCCCTAGTTTTGAACTCCCCTACCCTAAGGAAAAGACCCCTTTGCTATTTACCTTATCTATGCCCCTTGCAATTTCATAAACCTCACCCCTCAACCTCCTACGTCTATAGTCTTCCACAATCAATGATTTGCATCCATAAAACCACAAACACCTCGACTCTTAAATTTGCTTTAGAATATCATTCTTGATATTATGTTGCCTCAGTCTTCCTAACAAAATGAAACATTTCATACTTGACATTTCTCTGAAAAACATTTTGTCTGCCATGTCTGCTTTTCCACCTGCCTATCCATATTCTCCTGAAATCTATCACTACCCTCACAACGCACAACATTCTCAAGATTTTGTCATCTGCAAATTCAGAAATTATTCCCTGCCCTCAAGTCTAGTCCATTAATATAGATCAGGAAAAGCCATGGTCTGAATAACAACGCTTAGAGAACTTTATACATATTCTTCCAGCCTGAAAATAACAAATTAACCACAACTCTGTTTCCTGTCACTCAGTGAACTTGGTTTCCATGTCACTCCTGTCCCTTTTATTCTCCTGAGTATTAAGAAAAACAAAGTTGCTGGAAAAGCTCAGCAGGTCTGGCAGCATCTGTGGAGGAGAAAACAGAGTTAACGTTTCGGGTCCGGTGACCCTACCTCACAACTGATGGTGGTGCACAGAGGGATACCGTTATCTCCCTCCACCAGCCCACAGCCCCTCCCGCATTCAGGAAATAATGCAATTTAAAACGTGCAGCCTGGAAGGCTCTCTCACCTGCTCCCTCAGTGGTTTGATCACTGCATCGTAAGCAGCATAGTCAATGCCAGTTATGGCCTTCCCAACTTGGAATTCTTTCAGCTGCATTTCCAGCTTGTTATTCGCCTCCTCCATATCCTTCACCTTCTGCAGGTAGGCAGAAAGCCGGAGGTTTAAGCTCGCCATCGTCTCCTTCTCGTTGGCAACGAGAGCGCCGGATGACATCCCGGACAGAGACATTGAGGCCGAACCTCTGGCTGACCCACTGAAGGAACTCAACCCCAGGCCTCCTCCTCCTCCTCCTCCAAACTGTTGGCTTGAGCCAGAGAAACTGGACCTGGAGATGATCTGCCCCCCAGCCAGACTCCTCCCGCCACCTAACCCCCCACCCAGTGAAGCCGTTGTTGAGCTGATCATGCTGCGTCTCATGGTGCTACCTTTAACTAGGGTCTTGCTTAAACAGGGAAAATAAAACAGTTATTTTCAACAGTCTCCCCTTTTAATTGGCACACTAGGCTACAACTTCACAAAAGTGACTATGAAACTGACTGTAGCTCTGAACACCCCCCACGAGCATCCCATTCTCCTGTCTGTTGCTGCTGTATTTATATAGAAACTGACCCACCCACCTGAGCCTAGTGTTGCATTTCACTCATCTCCGCCTGTCAGGTGATTGACACCAAAACATTCAAACCTTCCCTTTCTGTTTTCACCCAACAACTGCTGGCAGAGATACATTCTTCCATAGCAACAATTATTTTGAAATGTGTATAAGTTGCTGGAAGGAGGTTCGGGGAAGCGATCTCATCTTGTTTAGAAACATAAACCAGGGAGACGACAGTAACATCTGATCTAGGGGTGTCAGATGGAGGGCCATGGATATGTTTTTGAAGTGCAACTAAATGGCGGGTTCATTTCTAATTGTAACCTCAGCATAATGAGCCCCCATAGGAAGCGGCGACCGCACTAGACATTCACCAGGATTTTCTGAAGGAGGGTCCAGACCCGAAACGTCAGCTTTCCTGCTCCTCTGATGCTGCTTGGCCTGCTGTGTTCATCCAGCTCCACACCTTGTTATCTCAGATTCTCCATCATCTGCAGTTCCTACTACCTCTCCCCCCATTCACCAGGATGTTGCCTGGCCTGGAGCAATTCAGCTATGGAGAGAGACTGGATAGATTGGCATTATTGTCCGCAGAGCAGAGAAAGCTGGGGTTTGGGGAAGAAGCTGATTGGGATACACAAACTTCTCAGGGACATGGATAGGCTAGGTAGGCAGAAACGCTTCCCCTTGATGGAGGGGTCAAAAACCAGGGGGTGCGGTTTTCAGGGAAATGTCTGGAGGCTGACAGGGGATTTGAGGTCCTATGATGCTGCTTGGCCTGCTGTGTTCATCCAGCTCTGCACCTTATTGTCAGGGGATTTGAGGATTTTGATTTCACTCAGAGGGTTATGGCTATCTGTAACTCTCTGACTGAAAGGGTGGTACAGGTGGGGACTCTCAAGACATTTAGGGTGGCACGGTGGCTCAGTGGTTAGCATTGCTACCTCACAACGCCAGTGGGTTCGATCCCACTCTCGGGCAACTGTGTGGAGTTTGTACATTCTCCCCGTGGAGTTTCCTCTGGTTTCCTCCCACAGTCTAAAGATGTGCAGGTTAGGTGATTTGGCAGTGGGAAATTGCTTATAGTATCCTGGGATGTGTGGGTTAGCCAGGGTGAATGTTAGGATAGGATGCTGGGTCTGGGTGGGCTGCTCTTCAGAGGGCTGGTGTGAACTTGATGGGCCTAATGGGATGCTGTTGGGATTCTAAGTATTTAGAAAAGGACTTGAAACATTGTTGCAGGCAAGGCTACAGGCCAAGTGCTGGGAAATACGTTTAGAATAAATCGATGCTTGATGACTAGCACAGACACAATGGGCTGAAGGGCCTTTTCTCCATGTTGTAAAAACTCTGTGACTCTTATGAACCAATTGCCCAATGGCACATCTTCCTGTTATCATTTGGACACTTTACTCAGGTCTAATGCTCAAACTCAGGCTGAGGATCACTAAAAGATAACAGGCTCAACTTCAACTGAGCAGGACTCACAAGCAATTGGTAACAGACCCACTATAACTGCCCCCCTCCCCGACACATCACAGCTAAGCTCACCCCTCACCAAATGCCCCTCCCCTCCTCTGATCTCTAGCAAACCTCAGTAACTTACATGAACTCCCTTTCCTTAAAAGTTAACCTACACTGGAGTTTGCAGACTCCAGTTTGCTGTTCAAACTCAACCCCACTTTTCTGCACCCTTCTCCCCCTGCCCCCAACTTAGAGCAGGCTCAACCTATGGTGTGACCAAAAGCAGCAAGCTGAAACAGAAGGGAATGTTTGTTTTCACAGAATCCTTACAATGGTTTATGCATTAAGCTCCTTGAATCTGGAGCTGTGTTCATTTCTTTTGCAATGTTCCCAGCTTGCTCTGCAATGTGGTATTTCAGGTTATTTAGTTTCCCTTCAGCTGCTGAAGGAGTGTTTATTCCTCATTCTTTCTTCAAATCATTCTTTCTCTTTCACAAAATTAAAAGTTGCACCACCATTAAGCAAGAAAAGTGAATTAAATGCTGCTGTTTGTTTGCAAACAAACAAAATAGAGAGCGCTGGAGAAACACAGCAGGTCTGGCAACCAGTGTGGGGAGAGAAACAGAGTTAGCGATTTGAGTCCAATGACCTTTCTTCAGAACTGGAAGCAACTAGAAAAAGGTGGTATTTGTACTGATGAAGGTGGGGTAGGTGGGGAAGAGGGGTGAGGAAGTGTTCCTTACATCTAGAGAGCAAAAATTGGAAAACGATGCCCAACTAGTGTTGAAGATCACACCTCGAGTGCTGTATGCAGTTCTGGTTGCAGTATTATTGAACGGATATGAAGGCACTGGAGACGGTGCAGATAATATTTACAATGATGATCCCCAACATTTAGTGAAGAAATGAGGGGACAATTTTTTTATAAAGAGGGTGGTTCACGTGTGGAATGAACTTCCTGAGGAAGTGGTGGATGTGGGTACAGTTACAATGTTTAAAAGACATTTGGATAAATGCATGAATAGGAAAGGTTTGGAGGGATATGGGCCAGGAGCAGGCAGGTGGGACTAGTTTAGTTTGGGATTAAGCTCGGTATGGACTGGTTGGACTGAAGAATCTGTTTCCATGCTGTATGATTCTATGACTATGATTTATCTGGAAGATGTTCACAATCTGAGTCTCCTTTCTGCTTGGAAACAGAAGACTGAGGGGTGACCTGACAAAGGTCTTTGAAATAACGCAAGGTATTGACCAAGAGAACAGAGAGAGACTGTCTCCTTTTGTGGGGAAGCACACAAAGAAAGATCTTTAATACAAGATGGTCACCAGGAAATCCAGTCGAGAATTCAGGAGAAACATCTTCTTTCGGAGGGTGGTGAGAAGTGATATTCATTTCCACAGCAAAGGGTTGATGTGAATAGTTACAATGGGTTTAAGAGAAAACAAGACAAGTACACGAGGATCAGAGCATTTGATCTATCTAAAGGAAAAGCAAAAGAGGGTTGAAGGGGTGGAGAATGATGGCAGATCTAAATGAGGAAAGATGGGATGGAATGGGCTAGTTGGGCCGAATACCCTGTGTATTCAAGTAAATTTTACGTAAACAATGCTATGTGAAAACAAAAAACAAAATAAAGATTGATATACTTATAGAGTCATAGAGATATACAGCATGGAAACAGACCCTTCATCCAACTCGTCCATGCTGACCAGATATCCTAAATTAATCTAATCCCATTTGCCAGCATTTGGCCCATATTTCTCTAAACCCTTCCTATTCACATACCCATCCAGATGTCTTTTAAATGTTGTAATTGTTCCAGCCTCCACCACTTCCTCTGGTAGCTCATTCCATACACGCACCACCCTCTGCGTGAAAATATTGCCCCTTAGGGGCCTTTTAAATCTTTCCCCTCTCACTTTAAACTTGTACACTTAATGGTAAGGTCATGGGGAGTGTTGCTGAACAAAGAGACCTCGGAGTGCAGGTTCACAGTTCCTTGAAAGTGGAGTCGCAGGTAAATAGAATAGTGAAGAAGGTGTTTGGTATGCTTGCCTTTATTGGTCAGTGCATTGAGTATAGGAGCTGGGAAGTCATATTGTGGCTGTACAGGGCATTGGTCAGGCCACTATTGGAATACTGTGTGCAATTTCGGTCTCCCTGCTATAGGAACGATGTTGTGAAACTAGAAAGGGTTCAGAAAAAATTTACAAGGATGTTGCCAGGGTTGGAGGGTTTGAGCTATGGGGAGAAGCTGAATAGACTGGGGTTATTTTCCCTGGAGTGTTGGAGGCTGAGGGGTAACCTTACAAAGGTTTATAAGATCATGAGGGGCATGAATAGGGTAAATGGTCAAGGTCTTTTCCTTGGGGTGGGAGAGTCCAAAACTAGAGGGCATAACTTTATGGACGGACATGGAGATTGTGTGGGAAGGGGTGTTGAAGGAGCAAGTTATGATCTACTTGCCTGGGCACGATGGGTTGAATAGCGTATTTCTGTTCTTACTTTCCTATGCTAAGAAGTAGTCTTTACAGATACTAGCAACCCTGCAGCAGCAAGCCCACACATCCATTCTTTATTTACATTGTCCAGTTGTCCCTTAACAGACATGTCCCTACGAAGGGAGAAGTGGTGGCTTAGTGGTGTTATCGCTAAACTATTAATCCAGAAACTCAGTGATGTTCTGGGGACCCAGACTGTGGGATTTGAATTCAATTTATTGGGGTGGTGGGGTGGGGAATAATCTCTAATAAAGAGTTTAATGATGACTGCGAAATTACTGCTCATGTCCTTTAGGGAAGGAAACTGCCATTCTTAATCAGTCTAGTCTACACATGACTCCAGACCTGCTGCAATGCGGTTGACTCTCAACTGCCCTCTGGGCAATTAGGGATGGGCAAATACTGACCCACAACTTTAAAAGAAAAACACACATCACAACAGAGCTGCATCCACTTCTTGTCTGGTCTCTTCATGTACAATCTTCACTGTGTCCCCTGGCAGAAATCAGGCTCAGGGAACTCTCAACTGGACTCAGCCCAGGGTAGGGGTGTGCAATAACTGTACAGAGGCTGGTATCCCGTCACCATGTCACCCTTTATTTACATGTGCATAATAGTATGTGGGCTCTGACCAGCCAGCTTAGAGCCACTCCCAACAGTGAGAAGATGCTCTGAATCTCTCATTTATATCTGTCAGCCTGGGCTTCTTGATTGGCCTAGGTTAACAATCCCTATCAATGAGATCCAACGGCCCTCATTCCAATTCCTGGGTGCTGAGGGGGCAACACGATTGGGATTCAGCGGTATCCCCTAACTCAGAAAAAAACCCAATGAATTGAAACCCTGGGCAGAGGTTGGAGGGGTTGGGGGAATTTGTCCTGCGTTGTCCGCAAAGCCACAGATTCTGCACCAGGGCATAACCTGATAAACTTCGAATCAAGTATTGCTAAATGCCCATACTTCCTAAGCCAAATTGCCACCCCCATGAAGAGTTTGAA